AAAAATGAAAAGTTACGGTACCTTCTCCTGTACAGATAATACAAACTACATCCCTCTGAGTTCGTAGAGGGTGGAGTTGGTCTTTTTAATTTTCTTCTGGATCTAGGCTCCTGATGAAATTTTGGCGGGTATTGAAGGGCTGTGTTTTTTATTGTCTACTGTCAAAAAAATAATTTTCAACGTGAGCAGCTAATAGTGTAGTCCAAATTAAAACGATCGCTGATTTTCTCATTGCCCCGAGAAAGTGCAATTTTCAAACGGGAAAAGTGCCACTATAAAATTATGTATTTTCACGATTAAAATTTGATTTTCTTGATCCTTTAGACGAAACTTCAGAGTTTAGACGAGTGTACTACGGGTTTTCCCTTTAGCCGCAACTAACAAACTTTTTGTTATGGTTCTCGCGCCCGTTAATCGTCCCGGACTCAATGAATTCGCGATTTTCTAGAAAAAACATGGATTCCTTCTCTTGAATTCTAAATGTGGACCAACACGGAAGGCCCCAAAACTCAACTTTATTAAATTCTCCCTACGCTTTACGTTCTCGGGGCAACAAGAAAACAAATTGAACTCGTATTCTATCACAGCCAAAACTCCAATTCCCTCAAAACCTTCTTTGGATTAACCCCTACCTACCTTTTATGCCCAAACGCCCAAAAATGGCCAAACGACCATCTTTAATCATGGTGGTGGTGGTATGCGGTAAGGTCAAATCTTCGGTAACGACACAAGTAGCCTAAGTAAGATCAAATATATTGGAGCAATTTACAAGAACAATAATCTCCAAAAGTTTCGTTATACTTGCGGTTACAATTCAGGAACAATACGTCTCCAGGATTAATGTAGGTGGAATAAAGTAAAATTTTCCAAGCCGGTAATGTAGAAATTCATCTATCGCGTAACTTTCGCCAATATCAACCTCGCTAAAACGGTGGGTCCAGGCAAAAATGCGATTTCATTCACGTAATATCCAGGTAGATACAACTTAAAAGGTAGGTAATCCAAAAGTGAAAACGATGAGAACTTAAGAGAAAAGCGTTTCAATGGAGCACAGCCATAGACATAAAAAAGAAAGATAAACCACTCCAAAGATATATGGCCACAGCCAAAACCCAATAATCCCTTATGCAGGTATACGAAAGTCAGTAGAAAAGTAATGGCGTACCGATGTAACCAACACGAAGGCAGAATCTTCACTGAAGGGAAAACAATTGTATGCAATACCGAATTAAAGGAGGGATAGGAACGACTTCTGGTGGCACAGTAAAAAACTATTGTAAAAGAAATCTATCCCAATTTGGACTTTTTCTTAATTTATTCGCTCCAACATGCTGTTCCCTCTTTCGGTTGATATTAGTGATTGACTTTTTGTGTACACGACCGATTTTTGTACCGTATTTGTACAGACAGTAGCTAATGATCACTCATCTCTCAGTAATTGAAGGTTGCTGAGAAATTTTCATGTTGATACAATACAATTTAACTTTGATGGGCTTCAGGTAAAGCGAAAGAGCTTCAACTGTAGGGCAGAGGAAGCACTCTAAAATGGTTTCCAAATTATTTTCTTCATTAACATTACAAACTTAATTAATATAGCGAAAATAAAACTTTGAGAAAGTTCTAATTTGAAATGCAAAGTGTACTGTTTGTAGAATTGTATTTAGGACTATCCTTGTTATTTTAATAATTAAGTTAGCTCGAATCTCGAACCTCTATTCACCGAAATTATGGAAATTCCGTAGGATTTAACTGCCATGAGATAACGTCCCGCTTCTTGTTGTGGTTACGTGTGAAAGCAACTGCCTGCTGCTTTATGTAATTAGGAATAATGACGAGGTCCCCGAATGTGAGTTAAGGAAGTTTAGACCCTTCGCGATCGCCTAATTGAATTTCAAGATCACCTTTTTAACGTTTAGACGTAGGGGATGTTTCGTCGTCGGCGCGGCGTACCGAGGAAATTTTAATTTGCGATCAATCATAGTAGACGCTCGGCGTTAAATGCCGGTTACTAAAACCCCATCTTCATTCGGCTTAAAGGCTTTTAGACACTGCTTTGTCTCATCAAAGCTACTCTAACATCACGAGCCACTAGCATCCCTCTACTCTCTAAAATCCCCAGTCATAAAGAGATCTGGTAGTTCACTCACTATATCACATACCACATCAATCATCGGCTTTTACCATTCATCTCTCTTGTCTGTCGGATCAGTTTATTTTTTGTTGTACCGTACCATATTTTTCGTCGGAAGTTAATTTTCGCGTTACAAATTAGTAAAAAATATTGAGGTTTGGAATTTATTTTAATAAGAGGGCTTTAATAAAGGGTTGTATCGAGGTTGGGTTAAGCCCCATTGGCCAATAACGCGCGCTACGACCTAAAACCGTAATTTATAATCATCTATGTAATGTCGATGTAGAAGCGATACGTTTTTATCTCGGTGTGATGTATTGTTGTTCTACTTTATCATGTTGTTTGGAAATGTTTACTTTCCACGATGAAGCAGAAATGTTCACTGTTTTTTTAGTTATTATATTGTAACGAATATTCTAGAAATCATGATAGACATCGAGGCGCCATGAAGAAACGAGAGCGGATCTGACGCATTCTTTCTGAGAAATGCAATAATCCAACTTCGGAGACATTCGGATTTCTCGAGAATGTACAAGAACGATCTAGAACTTTTCCATTTACTGTATAAGTGAACTAAATTGTGCGTAGCAAGTTAGTCTTAACATCGAGGTGTAAGTGAAATATTAAGTTTCCACTCGTGTTATGTTAAAAATAGTAAGTGATAAATAATAATAATTGGGCACTCCAACGCCGATATAGCACAAAACAACCGAGCTTCTTTTTAGGACAATTCCAGTTGATACGTCCGAAATCATGACATCTATAACACTTCACAGTTTTCTTGAAATCACCAAGCCTTGCGGTTTCCCCAACAAATAGGTACAGCTGCTTGATTTTCACCGAAGTTTACTATCCTGAAGTAACCGCGGTAATTTCTATTCTTACACTCTCTATGCCCAGAATCATTGGTTGATACTTATCCGGCCAGTCTGTATAGTACAGTAATCCGACGGTAGCTGCAGATCGTGAATTCGAAAAACGAACGAACTTAATTATCGTTGGCTTTGGTTCATTTTTTTATTTCGATCTGATTAATTTTGTTTAGAATTGTTTAAAGCGAAACAACCCTTTGTTTTACTTTCACTTTGTTTCAAATGGAAATTTTTACACGATTTCCGAAAGCGCGTAACGTTTGGTTTACGGACTTGTTCGGCACTTTTATGGTTAAACAATTGGTAAGATATTCACAATTAACTTTCTTTGCTATTAACTAACACTTGGTTAACAATTTCACGCCCACAAATCACTTACAAAGCTTGCTTATCCAACCTAAAAACCCTAAACCTATTCAAAAAGAGAAATAAAAAACATACTTCACTTCATCTTACTTCACTTCACTTCAGCAAAAAAATAAACTTCACTTCTTGACTATACTTAACTTCATTAATAATCTTCAATATTCCCTCCATATTATCTCTTCAACTAGTTCTTCGTCAAATAATTCTTTTCTTTAAACTTTTCTTGTTTTCATTACTAATTTTCATTCTTCCTGTCGTTATCGCTTGTTTGTTCTTCTTGTTCACTAGCTTTTGTTTGTTTGCTTCCTGGAGTACTTCTAATTTCCTCACTTTCTTCGTTTGTTTTGGTTAAATTCTCCTCCTCCTAACCTAAAATACGGTGCTAATTCTACTTCAATACCAATTCATCTTCTTTTTTTCTTTCGACTTCAGTTTATCTTCTTCACTTCTTGGTCTAATTGTTTGTTCATGCCTTGTAGCATTGCTTCCTTTCGTTTCTACAAATATTCTTGCTCCAAGATGGCAATTCCCTCTTTTTGTTTCTTCTTAAGTTTCCAACTTAGGTAATTCTTGTGGTCTAAAATCTCCTTGAATTTTTCTTCTAATATTTCTTCTCGCTTCTTACAAATTTTAACTTCTTCAGCTTGCTTTTGTTCCGTCTCCAAATTCCCTAAAGCTATAGGGTGACTTCATTCCTTCTTTTCTTCATCTTCAATATCTTCTTTACTTGTGTTACGTTTACTTTGAGCAAACGTAACAAAATTACCTTGAGAAAAGCACACGGTAACCTCAGACAAAGTAGAGGTGGGTCGGGGTGAATAACGGGATTTTTGTAAGAACGAAGGAAAAAGAAATGTAGTAATAGTAAACCGGAGAGGCGCCATTTAGTCTTTAGTAAATTTAAAAAAGAAGAGAGGGAATACTTACCTAAAGGGGAAACAAGGCAGACAAAGAGATTCTTGTTCTGGTCTTGATAAACTAAAGAAATAAAGTAATTGACAGGGGTAGAACAAACAATAGGGCGATTTAATACATGATCTCAAAATAATAAAAATGTTAATGTTAAAATTTAAATCCATTTTCTAACAAAAAGGGGATCACCTTGTTACAGGTCCATTTTTAGTTAAGTTTTGCTTTAGTTATTTTGATTTTTAGGTTAGGAATTTGTTTATTTTGTTTTGATTTTCATCACATAGGCGTGCCTATTTTATTAAATTTCTTCTTTCGATTTCTTCGCTTCTTTGGATTCTTGCTCTCTTCTTACAATTGTATTTACCCTTTCACGCTTTAAACACTTCTTCTTTCCTTACTGTTTTCACTATTCTAATTTTCGAAGCTTATGTGTACTATTTTATTCCATGTTACGCCTCTGGTCCGCTTTCAGTGTCATCTACTGTCAGTTCTTGTAAACCACGCTATTCTTTCCCGCTCTTTTCAAAAATCTATTCTTCTTTTCCCGCTGGCTTTTTATGTTCCTTAATTATTGGTATTACTGTTCGTTTTTTTTTATTCTTCTACGTTTCGTTTCCGTTTTTGCTAAATTGTCAATTGTATGGTGTGCTTGTGAGGTGCGGAATTTTTGCAGCCGCTTTCATCCGACAATTTTGGGATTTCTACCCTCGTACTATAGTCTCCACTCATTACCAGGAATTGGTATTTCTTCCTTGGAAACCCTATTTTGGGGATTAAGAGTGGAAGAGGAAGCGCATTTGTGTTTGTGAAGTTATCTACAACCAATATATTAATGTTACCCTTGCTCGCCGGATTTCAACCCTTGTGTAAGTATTTTTGTTGTCTGTATCCTTTTTTATTTCTTCGTTGTCTCTTAGGATCCGAGCTTTATTTCACCGTCCACCAATTTAATTGAGCCTACATATCTATATATTGTCTCTACGTTAAGGCCCACACCATCTCGTAAGTAGCCTTTTTGTGATAGTTTTAGCTCGTAATGTTGGGTTTTTGTTCTAGGGCCTTGTAGTTTTAGTTATTTCTTGTCTATACTTGTTATACGTACCTATCTACTACTAAGAAATCTTCGTCTTCGTCCATCTCCAGTCTTCAGTCGTCCGTCTTCAATCTTCAGTCGTCCGTCTTCAATCTTCAGTCGTCCGTCTTCAATCTACAGTCGTCGTCTTCAGTCTTCAATCTTCTTTCGATACCCTAAAATTTCTTTTTCCTTGTTCCCTTCTACCCGCATCCCTATCGTTAATCTACTCCGTATTTAGCCACTGGTCTACCACCGCCAAGTCCGCCGAATAACTGCTGGACAACTTCAGGAGCCAGAACAGCTAAGTTCAAGTTATCTATTTACCTTAAAAAAAAGTTAAGTTTATTTAGAAAAAAAACCCATCACATTAATTCAGTCACCCTACATCTTAATAAGTAATTTAGTCTTTATTGTTTTACTGTGAGACGAGATCTCGTACCGTTTTCTTTTTTTGCCGTTTTTCTTCCCTGTTATCATTCCGTGCCATTATCAATCATCATCATTCGCCCTACAATATCTGTGTTAAATTCTTGATTTCCTTGAAGAATAAATACCTTTTCTTTCCCGCTATCTTTCTCTATTTCTTTTTTTTAGTTTTACCCCTGCATTTCCAGACCAACAGGAGCAGGTTTCTAATTTTTTTCCTGTACGGCTTGGAACGATCGAAAAATTAGTGGCGCCTAAATTTTCGGAGCATTTATAGGTATTTCTTTCAGGATCGTCGAACCACCCCTACCACCGAGAGCAGCTGGAGCCGTAGTGCTGGGTTTCTTATTTCCTTCTAGTTTTCTTCGTCACAACCTCATAATCAGAGTAATTATTAAAACAGGCTTCCACAGAAAACAACTCAGCTATAATTGTTAAATGGCTATCAAACAAATGTAGTACAATTCTGTTGTACCCAAAAACCAGTATATACCCAGCCTTCTTCGAAAATAAAAAAAACGTTACCTTTGGAATCACAGGTCGCAACCTTTTCGAGCTCAGAAAGGGCGCTGTTCTACATTATCTCTCACAGATAACAACACAAACAAACAAACAAGCAAGAAGGGTAGTGAATGGCGCAGCACAAATATATTGCGACATAGCAATGTCTAACGTCTGACACTAATCAGGTAAATCGTATCCTAAAATCGTTATAATCACGTGATTAATTTCAGCAAAGATGGCGGTGGAATTTTTTAATGGAGGCGGTTTATATCGATGTAGATAGCAATAAACAGATAGACAATAATGAAGTAAGTCAGAAGCACGAAGCCTCAAAATAATTATTCGTAGTCAAAGGTAACGCACAATTGTTGGTACCTTAAACGGCCTTAGAGCTTGTAAAATATATCCGCAAAAGTCATCAGTAAAGTATCGAAAGAAAATCACAAGAGGAAAACCTGACCAAACTCTGCCGCTACAAAAATCGCCTTAACAGGTAGACAAACAAATGGAGTAAAATATGACGTGTACGCTCTTTTTAGAAGTAATGGTCGAAACTGTTCTTGTGCAATGAACGCGTGCGCGGAAAGAATTAAGGAAACACCTGCACGCCCTCTATCGGCGAAAATAGATGGAGTCATGTTTTCTAAGGTCATGACGCTTTCATTAATTACAGATAAAGAAACAATTGATGGAAGAAGAATGGCAATTTTAAATAAAACGGTTGCAGATTTTCCGCGAAGCCCCTGTAAGTAAAAGTATTTTAGAAAGATCAACAAAATTTTCCCATGTCGTAAAGTAATAAAGTTTGTGTCATAACAATCTGTCACAATTCATAACCTAAAAAGTTTGAAAGCACGTCAGTGTAAATTGATGTTTGGTCTCGGTCGTACTTCCTTTATTTTTAATGGAGTTTTTATAGTAATTCCATTTATTGAACGTAAAGTAGGTTGTAAAATTGCGACGAATTAATAAATTTTACGAAAGGCAGAAGTTGAAGCGCTATTTTCACCGCAACCCTTATTATCAAGTCAATATGCTCATATTACTGAATATCGCTTCTATTTCCCCAAGCTATCGTTCCAAAGTATCTTGAGTGATATTGTCTTGTATGTTGTGTCGCACCACACAATATATGTACTCACGTTCATGTCATATAAAAGCTAATGGAACATTTCGAATTATGCTCCTGGCAACACTAAGTTATGGAACTGTCCCCATGATATACAATCAAGAACTTAAACTTTATATTACCTACTGCAATATAGCATAAGCGGTAGTAGTTCCATTGCCGTAGATAATAAGAAAATAAATGAGAACGAAATTTCATTTTCCAATTTCTTTTACCTGACAGAACATCAAAACCTGCCACCGAAATTATATTTTGCATGCGAGTTATAATAAAAGAGTTTCCTGAAAATATTAAACAATCTTCGAGCAAGACAAAACTTTCAGCATATGTAAATAGAGCATTTCCCAAACATCATTTTCCACTCCATTTTCCATTAATATTTAAATATATTTTCTCTTTTTGAATTGCGTTAAGTGAGATCATGGCGGAACCCTTCCTTTGAAACTTTCCAAGCCGCGAGCATTACAAAAAGAAAATCGCGGTGACATTATTTTAATTAAGCTCTCCTCACGCAGTGAAAACGCGTCGCTTTGTGTACGTTTCCTGTGACTTATTGACGCAAATATTTCCTTCAAAGCAATTTCACATCCACGCGGTCCTTTTAAATTCATATTGAGATTGGGCCATCCTTTGAAAAAAATGGGGGAATCTCCAACTTGACATGTGTAACCAAGAATGCTTTTTCATAAATTGAAAAAGCGTCAGTGGTGGTATAGCAGAAAGGAAACTTGACGTGATAGACTTCCTCTTTCGGTACATCCTCAGCACATTGTCGCCCGCTTCCTTTTTTCATCAGCCAGTTTCGCTCGATTAATTTAAAGTTGTTCAACACTGAGTGACGACGATGCAAATTACGCATGACACTTTGAAGCTGTTAACCATTTGATACCTAATATCCATTAAAGCTTTTACAATATTAAGACGGGACAAACGCGGACATCAAACTGACACCGGTGATTAATACGACTCTAATGAGTACCTTCGGCGTTAACCCGCTTTTTGCACCGAACGCATTAACCAACGCTGAAAACGTAATTAAAGCATAGAGTAAACTTTCCCGAGGGTATACTGTTTTTCAAATTTAAAATAGAAGCTTTTAAAGAACCTCGGTTAAAATGGAAATTAGATATGAACTTTTACACTACCTACCTAACGAAGACTCGCCGCGAAAATTAAATAAGGAATAAATGGACACTCCATTAGAGTAATGTATTTACCTACTCATTTCTTAATTGCATTTTCGTACGCCCAGTTACCAGCTGACCACCATTAGAATTCGCACTTTAAACTATTAACGATGATCTCAAACCAGAACTGTGGAGCAGCTGATCCATACCGTAAAATTTGCATTCAAAGAAAAGATTAAGTGAAGCGTACTCCAATATCAGGTATACATATAGGTATGTTGAAAATAATTGTGATTCGAATTAGTTTTAATCTTATGCGTTATAACTGAATGAACTTAAGAGTATGAATGGAATTTGAGGGGAACTTGACAAGAATCTAATAGAAACTTGAGGAGTTTAGGGAATGCAAGTTGCCGGAAACTCGAGCAACTTAAAATGAAACTTAAGTGGAAATTGAGCAAAGATTGGGAGAACATGAATTTAGAGGTACTTCAAGAGCACCCCCCTAAAGGAGGTGGAGGGGAGCATAAGGAGAACTTAACAATAATCAATCAACCTTTATTTGTCCGCATACCATAAATAGGTTTTGACACGTCAGTAAATATAGTAAATATTAAATTAGTACAATGCATAATATAAAAAGAATAATAAAAACAGTTTAAAATTTCAAATAAATAAAAGCTTAACAAACCATGTGGCTGAATAATATAGGATAATAAACAATTTAAAATTTTAGTTAAAAAGAGACAAAACAGAGATAAAATATAAACAAGTAAAGGTAAAAATAACTAAAGAGAATACTACTACACAGGTACACAAAATTAAAGTAAACAAACAAGTTGACTTTTAAGGGCTAGAGTTTCGATATTTTGGTCCGAAATCAGTAATGAAGTACCGTCAGCATATGCAACAGCGTGATTAGGATGTATATATTCGAAAAGTCATTAATGTATAATAATGAAAAGTAAAGGCCCTAATATGGACCCTTGAGGGACATTATTAATTAACTTAGAATATATACCGTCAATCAAAACACATTGCTTGCGATTATTAAGGTAAGTTGACATTAATGATCCCGCTAGTCCCCTATTCCCATATAATTGAAGCTTATCTAACATAATATTAAACGAAACGCAGTCAAAAGCTTTGGACAAATCACAGAGTATTAATGAAGAATGTTCCCCGTTCTCCCACGATTTTACTACTACAGATATAATTTGGTCAACAGCTTCTGTTGTAGAGTGATTTTTTCGAAACCCATACTGACCACGATTTAATAATTTATTACGCTCTAGATAGTTATATAATCTTTTATTTAAAACAATTTCAAAAAGATTGGAAAACATTGGGACTATAGCAATTCGTCTATAATTGTGTAAGTTGTTTGGGTCTCCCTTCTTAAAGAGGGGCTTGACAACTGACACTTTAAACGCCTCAGGAAAATTGCCTTCTGAAATACAACGATTAAATAGATGTACCAAATACTTAATGTATATATGTATTGTATTTTTAATTAATTTACTGTTAATTCCGTAAAATCCGTACAGAATGAGTCACCTAATTAATTTACAGCATCTAGGATTTCGCACCTTGATACAGGGTATAAGAAAAAGGCACCAGTAAAAGTTGATGGATGATGTAATAGTTGGGGAGCGATTAAGTTCGTTTTACCTAAATGGCGAATTATTTCCTCGGCCACGTTTACAAAATGATTGTTAAAGTTATCCGCAGTGAAGTTGGATTTCCTGTTTTGGGAGTTGTGCTTATTCCGTTCGAAATTAATTACTTTCCAGGAATCTCTGATTTTGTTATTGGACTTACTCAAAAAGAG